CGGCGCGGCAACGAGCGGCGCGCGGGCAGGGCAGGGCGTGCGCGAACGGTGCGACGCGGGGCAGGGCAGCACGGCACTAGTAGGGCGGCGCGACGGGTGAGGTAGCGCTACACGGGCAGCGAGCTATACGGTGGGCCCTAAAAATAAAGTCCTAGGCAAGGACCTGCTCTGAAACCATGTCAGAATAATGAACGAGAATGAATGAACTAGCAGCATGTAGGAGTACAAGTAGCAAACCCTACTTGGGTTGTACGCCATATGGGCTACCCCACTATAACCTACACAACATGCGACATATAAGTTTGACACCCGCGGGGGGCTTTTCGAGGGGTAACGCGATGGGCCCATGGAGGGGCCATGATGGGCGGCCACGTCGAGGTGCGTCGACCGGGTGGACTGGGTCGGATGCATCACGCGGGCTAGGAGAAACGGGCGCACTAGGGGAAACTAGCGGGCTAGGGTAGGCGCGGCGGAAGCGAACGGTCCTAACTTAGTTGATACCATGTAAGAAAGCGAACGGATAAGAATTACTAACGGCAGGGCATACAGGATGGATAAGTAGCAAACCCTAGCACGCCTAACACAGAGTGTAACACCTAGCCTACAATATAGAACAAACATATATATGTATAGTTTGACACAGGGCCCCACCTTATTCGTCGTGGGTCTAAAGCTCGCGCTAAACCGTTGTTCCGTGGGGTACTGCCTGTCTAAGAGCACAAATACTTGTGGCCGGAGGGACATGTGCCGCCAGAAGTGCAGAATCGACAACCACCGTAGCTTCAAAATCTTCGTCAATTATTCTTATGCCAGAAACTGTAGTCACCCAAGCTAGAACAGTCTGATCGTAGTCAATAGGTCCTATCTTTTCGGTGGTCTGAAATGACGTCGTCGCACACTGTGTCACTCCTGCCGAAAACGCCGACGTCGCACCCGCTGGTGCATCAAACCCGCTGGCCTAATCTGCTCTGGTAGACCCCTGCATAACTCGGGCAACCCACACATTGCCACTCATTGATCGAGTATACATTTATGCAGTGTAGACGGTTGTATATGTAATCCTCTGATGTAGGTGGTGTACCTTTCTTTTCCTTGCCTATATCCCTGTAATGTTTCTCATTATTCAACCCTCTTTTGCCAATTCTCTCGACCTCGTTCCTCTCGTCATGCTTCCTCCCGTCACTCACGCTACCTAGCTAAGATAGTTTCTTTTCACATGGTTTTGGACCAGCTACGCTCCTCGACCTAATTATTTACGGGCCCATCGCATATAGCTTCCGTCATGGCCCTAGCTGCAGCCCATGTCGCGCCCGTCAAGGCGCTCGTCACTGCGCTCAGCGTGACGTCCGCGACGGATGCGATGTTAAGCCCCGTCCGTCGCTCTCCTGCTCGACGTCCTGCTGCTACCGCGCTAGCGCAGGCGAGCTGCGCGAAGGCGCTCGTTGCCCCCCCCCCCCCCCCCCCTCCCCCCCGTCCCGCTCGTCGCAGCCCAACCGCGATCTTGCCATCGCCAGCAGCATTCGCGGTCGCTGTGAGGGGGAGGAAGGGGGGCAGGGGGTGGCGGGACTACGGTGGCAACCGTCCGCGCCAGCGCCAACGGAGTTCGTTGGCGCCCCCACCAGCGCCATCCCGCTCCGCGCCCTTCTCTCTGCTGCGCCTTGCTACGGCGGATGCTTGGGTGGGAGAATGGCAGGATTGGCAGCCGAGGCTGCGGGGGTGCTGAAGCCCCCTTTAACCCCCCCCTCGCTCCTCCCTATTCCTCCTCCTCACCACAGCGACTGCAACTCCTGTGCGTGTCACGTTGGGGGGGGGAGGAGAGGGTGTGGGGGTGGCGTGTATGTGAAGGCAGCCGCCCCTCCCTCTGTTTCTTCCGCTGCACTTCTTCTCGCTCTTCCTCCTCCTCTCATCTTCTCCTCATGCCCCGCCTACTTGTCTTTCGTTCTCTCGTTCACTCGTTCTTTCGTGTTGCTGCTGCATGTTGCTGGCTCGCCCCCGGAGGTGCTGAGCAGTGCTGTCCTGCTGCTCGTTGCAGCCACAGCGCCTGCTCTCTCGCCCACCTACCGTCGCCTGCACCCGCAGCTGCTGCTCTCTCTGCTGGTGTACCCCTACATGGGGTGTTACTGCACATGGTCATCCACTGCATGCAGTTAAGGGGTGTGTTCAAATATAAATTTGATCCTTTGATCTAGGTGGTGTACCTCCTTTTCCTTGCCTATATCCCGGTATCGTTTCTCATTATTCAACCCTCTTTCGCCAATTCTCTCGACCTCGTTCCTCGTCATGCTTCCTCCCGTCAATCATGTTACCTAGCTAAAATATTTCCTTTTGACACTCCTCGTCATCACATCTTTTGACGCAAATCACTATGCAGCTAGCTTGCTCGTCCCACTCACGTTTCCAACGGGATGAATCTCCTAAATCTTCATGCGCAGTTGATGTTGGTGCAGTGCCGCCAACTCGCACCACACTGCTATGAAAATCTCTCGCGTGCACTGACGACAATCTGCGGACGCCAGCTGCCGCATATAAACAACTCTGATATTGACAGATTTCACACACATTAATTCACATCATTAATGTGCGACAACCAACTGTCCACTTCCCAAGGGGGGGAGAGGGGGAGGGGAGACGGAGGGGGGGGCACAATCGATCTTGGCCGTCCGAAGGTAAGGATCTGGCGGTGCAGAGAGCTCGCAATTTTCATAGCCGCTAGGAGTAATCCAAGTTGTGCTCCTGGTCGGCCGTCGTGCAACTCTTGGACCCCACGCCATCCTTTCTCCTCCCCTCTCCCCCCGGAAAAAAATATTCCGGTTAGGCGGAAGGTACTGGCTTAGGAAATTGCTCTGCATACCAAGTGTTATTAGTGCATGGGTTTCACAAACAAACTGAAATTCACTCAAGTTTCGAGCTACATATGTCCTATCAAAATCTACAAACGTGGTTAAAATAGGCAGGAACGAGCTATGTGAGGACCTCGGGCTAAACGCGGCTCAGCAAGGTGGCGAATGGTGCGGTGGTGCCCCGGGAGTGGTTCAGGGTGAAATTGTACGCCGAACCTAACAGACGCGAGACCCTCGGAACATCCCCGCTAAGGCCAGTTTACAGTAAGGAATAATAATTCATTACGCCTCCGCTCAGGAAAAACCATTGCGGGGTTGCCTAAGGGTACATTCCTGTCTGGACATTTGTGTCACAAAGCAGAGGTACCGCTCTGTACCGAATCGAACCCCTTTGTTAAAACATTTCGAACTTGGGTTCGATTCGGTACAGAGCGGTACCTCCGCTTTGTGACACAAATGTCCAGACAGGAATGTTCCCTAATTCTTCGAGCATGGACTTCCCCTAGTTCCCTCTATATGCCAAACATGGTAATATGCAATTCAAAGTATTCATTTATGAACCCACGAAGAGCTGAACAGGGGAAGGAAAATCAAAGAAATGGACGATGGGTGCCATGAGGAATGGAGAAAGGGACGAAGGCATGAAGGGAGTATATAAAGAACCGCGGAGGAGTGGATAGGAGGAGGTGACCACAGGAGGACGGGAGGAAATGAGGTAGGGAGGATGGGAGGAGAGGAGGACAGGGGGGAGAGAGGAGGACAGTGGGGAGATAGGAGGACAGGGGGGAGGGAGGAGGATAGGATGGAGAGAAGAGGATATGGGGGAGAGAGAAGAACATGGGGGAGAGAAGAGGACAGGGGGGAGAGAGGAGAAGAGGGGGGAGAGAAGAGGACAAGGGGGAGAGAGGAGCAGCAAGAAATGCATGCGGCGTAGATGAGAGCGAGCTGCAAGAAAGGCATGCGGCGGGATGGGAGCGAGCAAGGACCCCCTCACACCATGGGAGGTAATGGGGGGTTTCCGCAGCAATTACCTTGGGCAAAATGGGAGGTGCAACGTGGGCGGAATGGGAGGTGCAACGTGGGTGAAATGGGGGGTGCGGTGTGGTGGAATGGGTGGTGCGACGTGGGGGAATGGGGGGTGCGTCATGGGCAGAATGGGGGGTGCGACGTGGGGGTGCAACGTGGGCTATACATGGTCATAGAGACGAGTCGAGCAAAAGTCGACTCGTCACTGGTCATGCTCGCCGAGCTTTTGCCCCGAGTTGAGCAAAGCTTTGGCGATCATTTTTGTACTTTAGGCCTACTCTAGACTCGTTGTTTTAGTGCATGCTCGGGCAAATATGTGAGGAAACTCGTCCGAGCACAAAAACGCTCGACTCACCACACTTTGCCTGCAAACATCAACAAGGAAAGAAATCATCTGCCTGGCTAGTCCATGGTATAGTGGGTTCAGTGGGTTGCCCGGGAAGACTAGTGAAGCAATGGGGAGGCCAGGGAATCCTCAGGGAGGCCTGGGGAAGCACAGGGATCCCTGGGGATGTCAACGGTACACTATTAACGCCCAAAGATATCATGCAACCCACCACAGTAATGGCAGCCAACGTCCCATTTGCATCTAAACATCCATGTGCATCTGATAAATTAACAAGGGCCATGTCTAGCGCTCTGGTGAGCGTGCGCCTGGGGAGAAACATCATGCAGTTTATCAACAACCCTATACCAATAAATATAACCCGCCATCCCATCACTCAAGTCTTCTCCCTCTATAGCAGCAGCAGCCTTTCTCATCCCCTCCCATCCCATCCATACCATCCACCCAATCCCACAAGCCCATCACCCACACTTCACGCATCATCAATCTCCAAACCCACGGCATCCTTTTCCGCCTTCCCCAGCTTGCACCCGAGGTGCAAGTCCACCCAAGACTTGAGAATAAAGCAGGCTCGCACGCAAACGTGCGCTCGCTCGCAACTGACGTTGCGGGGATGGCGAGGTAATCGATGGCCATCGCCTGTAGGCCCTCTAGATCGTTCCGACGGTGCTAGTACGCTAGCGGACGCACCCCCAATGGCTCCATCTGCTCGTCGATGTAGATCTGCACCTCATCGCGAGTGGTTTGCTCCCGATGGCTGCGGAAAGCCGCCAGGCATGCCACCAAACTCAGCTTGTCCCCACAGCACCACCAAAGGCATCAGTGGCAGGTCTGCTGCCGCATCTGCTGCCCCCAAATCCTACCTCTCGGCCACTGCTGCTGGCCCCTCCTGATCCGGTCTCCCCCCTTCCGCGGCCGGCCCCACCACCACGACCAGTCCCATCCCGCTTCCTCCGAGCCGCCAGCGCCTTCTCCTTGTATGGGCGCACCTTCGCCCGTACCAACTCTAGAATCTGCGCGACGGCCGCGTGCTGTGCAGCATGTGAGCCACTCCCCTCCTCCCCCAACCCTTCCTTCCCAATCTGGAAGTAGCCGATCTTGAAGCTCGGGTCCAGGAACGTTGCCACCCACAGCTCATCCTTGCTGTTGGAGTAGTGCTCCTGCAGCTTCCCCATCGCGGCCTCGATGCACCCCTTCATGATCTCTGAGGGGGGTGGGGAGGGGGGGGGGGGGGGGGGGGGGGGGGGGGAGAACACGGTCCCTGAGCCTCTCAAGGCTGTCCAGAACTTCGTTGAACTGCGGGACCACCCTTGAGATGGTGGGTTATGAGGAACCCTCCGCCGCCAAGGTGACGGCGTGGAAGGGCTGAAGGAAGTCGCAGAGCTCCTCCAGGGCCAGCCACTGAAATTCGGAGATGGTGAGGTCCTGCAAGCGAGCAGCATCCTTCGCTGTCATGCCCTGTTGGTGAGTGGGGTGTGGGAATGGGTGGGTTCACAGTTCACCGTATACAATGCAGACCACAGGATGGAAGGTGATGACATATGGTCTCTATGCTGTGTGCGACAGTGCAAACTGTAAGTATGGTTAAATTGAAGATTGAACAAGCGTGGAACGTTGCATTGAAGTGCCCTGGAGACAAGTCAATGCATATCATCACCCTTACCCACATCGGCGCGCTGAATGTAGTTGATGATGATGTGCTTGAGATGGAGAGCGCCCTCGAGCATGAGAGAGGTAGAGCCCCAGCGCACTTCGTTGTCCTGGCGAAGACGCAGCAGCTTTGCCTTGGCGTTCTCGTCCCTCTGGGCCTGCTCGAAGGATGCCGTCCGCTTGGGTGAGTACCCAATGAAGGAGGCGAGGTCCCGAAGGAGTCCCATCGGCTCCTTTATCTCAAGCACCCTCTTCAACGCTAGCTGTACAGCCTGGTTGCATATGTGTGGTAGGCACCTGGAGCACGGGGATGGGCAGAGCAAAAACAGAACACAAGATAAGGATGGACATGGAGGGATGCATGGATGGGTAGGGCGAACAAGTGATACACACGGTGCTGCCCTACTTTGTGGATAGTAAACGAACAGGTGTACAGGTAAACATGGGTGGCCTGGGCTTAGGGAAGGGGTAAGTAATCTCACCACACGTGCATCCCTGAGAAGAACAAAGGAGGCTGGTGGTCACTCGGCCCACCGCGACATAAGTACTCCATCGCGGCGACGTTGGACGAGGCGTTGTCCGACGTCATCGCAATGCACCGGTCTCCAACGTCCCACTCCTTCACCACGTCCTCCAACACCTCGGCTATCTTCTTGCTAGTATGGTCGCCAGGAAGTGCGCGGAAATCTAATGTGACTCGCCGCAGCTCGAAGTCTTTCGAGATGGAATGGCCTGTGACAGCCATGTAGGATCGGTGGTTCTCACCGGTCCATATGTCATGGGTCAAGGCGACAACCCCTGACCCCTCAGCAAGGAGCTCCTGCTTGAGCTTGTTCTTGGCCAGATCTGCCAAGCGAATGATCTGGCAGCCTAGAGTGGAGCGGCTAGGGATGACTTTATCCTCCGCACATGCGGGGTTGGCGACGATCATCATTCGCTGAAACTGCACGGGCACGATGGGTTGGGGGTGTTCGAAGAGGGTATAGAGCGTTACAAAATCAGCACCAGCAGCGTCTTAATATGAAGGAGCAGGAGTAGTAAAAACACTCATGAACAGTGAGAAAAACACATTGGCCAGAACCGAGTGGCATCCTAAACTCGTGAGAAACGACGGCGTGTGAGTGAAAGTACGGGCTGGCTTACCGTGGGGTGTTCAACGGCGCTGAAGGCCTGGTTGGTCGCCACGATGAACTCCACCATGGCCTCCTGGAGGACGTCCTTGTCGAAGCGCTCGGGGAAGTATTTGGTCAGCAGCTGCTGCCTTGACTTCCCTGGCACACCGACAGGGGGCGGCGCCGGCCACGTGGCTGAACCCTACCACTCAACTCTCCCATCCGGAACCTCGTTGGGCAATCCATAGCCCCCCTCCGGGAAGTATTCGTCGGCCCCGATCTCCCCTGCATTGAATTTCCGTAGCCATAGAGCGTAGTTGTGCATAGGCTGCCGCTCCATGTGTGCCCTAGCAGTAGACCCGTTCCCTTGAACAAAGGATATCATCTTGCTGCACTTGCGACAGCGACACCTGGTGTCGCCCTCAATCTCCTCAAAACAACGGGTCACGAAACCCGTCATGCCTACCCCTGTGGCCGCGTGGACATGCCGTGCATGCATAGTAGTGCGAGCAGGGAAAACGACTGCCTCACCATCCATAGAGGTCAGGTTCCCGCTACCACGCGCTACATCTCGACCCCCTCCTCTTTGTCGGCCCCTACCTTTCCCCCGTCCACCACCACGCCCCTTGCCCTTGCCACCTCGCCCGGATGCCTTGTCTCTCTTCCGTGCCCCACCCCTCTTCCGCTTGTTTCCCTTCGCACCTTCCGTATCATCATCACCCCCTTCGACAACCAAGTCAACAAAGTCCTCTACCTTGTCGCCATCCGCCTCCTCCCCTTCCCGGTATAAACCTCTTCCTCCGAGTTGTCTCCGCTCCCACTGCCGTCATCTTCCTCCTCATCCATCTTCATTCCCATCGTCATCTTCCTCCTCATCATCTTCCGCATCCCCATCCTCCTCCCCTTCCATCTCGCCCTCTTGCCCGTTGTCCCCCTCCATCCCCTCCGTCCCCTTCTCATGGTCTCTTTTCCGCGTTCCAGGTCCGCCGTCGGTTTCTCCCATTCCATAGAGTACGTCGCCGCGGAACTCCTGCACATACTCGCCCACAACATCGTTATCCTTGAGCGGATCCCGCCCAGAACTGCCAGCACCTTCCCCCTTCGCGCCACCAAGCCTGCCAGCTGCAGCCTTAGCGGCTTCCTGTCGTTCACCCTCCGCGACCAGCCACTTCAGGTGTCGCTGTTCCTTCGACGTCATCACGCCAGGTGAGTCGTCAACCCTCACCTTACCCTTACCAAGACTTTCCACACGGCCGCTACCGGCTAACCCACCCCTTTTGTTAACCGCCATAACCTTATCGCGAGCCGGAGGCATTGTAGTTGTAACTCTGTTTTACAGAAGCGCGGAGGTGGAAACGTAACAATAAAGTAAATTAATAGCTTAACGTAAGTGCAATGTCCCCACTGAAGCAGACGCAACCCTTTTTAGCAAGCCATTGGCGAGGTTCAAATGGCGCGGGCTAAGCTAAGGTGCATGGCTCAAGTGACGCCAACACATTAAACCGTTCGATGTGGTGGGAAACATCCGTCACTTGATGGATTGAGTATGCAAATGTTGGCGAAACTCTAGGAAAAGTGGTTGGGACCACTTGAGGGGTTCAGATCTGGACCCAAAATTTCCCGCCAATTTGAACCCCAGGCAAAAGTTACACGACGAGTTTTCTTATGCTCGACGAGTTTTAGAAACTCATCGAGCACAAAACTCACGAGGACGTGACGAGTTGATAAAACTCTGCGAGTAAAACTCGCCTCGCCTCGGCCGAGTGTTTTTCCCAAAAACGCAGGCTCGTCACTCGACCCCCAAAGAGCATTTCAAACGAGTCGAGTAAAAACACTAGGCTCGATGCCCATGTATAACGAGGGCGGAATGGGGGGTGGGACGTGGGCGAAACGGGGGGTGCAACGTGGGTGGAATGGGCGGAATGGGTGTACCCCATTCATGGCGATGATGAGGCGAGTTTGTGGCGACGAGGCGATGCTACTTGGGCGCAAAGGCTACTTTGGCGACACGTGGGCCTCGAAGGGTAGGAAGCGAGGAAGGCGGCATGGCGTCTGTTATGCTCCTACGTACTGAGTAGAGTGTCATGGAGGCGGCTAATGTTGAGGTAGTGTCATGGCGAGATGGTTTTTTTTACAACGGCGACACGAGTCCCCTACAATGACGCCACTTCGATGTGGCTTCTCGCATGTGACGATGGTTGCTGGTTCCAGTGGGTATGATAAACCAAAGGGGGATTAGGCGCGGGGGCCGTGACGTAGTGTCGCGAGCTCATCTTATCCTTCCTACTTCTAATATATCATATATGCAGGTAGCTGCGTCTTGCTTGTGTCGATTACTCACGCACCCGTCTCTACTATGGCATCACCGTCTAGGTCACCCCTCCCTGCAGCTTATACGTCGCATGCACTGGCGCCTCCTTGTTTCTGGCCTCCCTAGGTCCCTGCCCCCGCTCCCTCGGTCGCTTGCGCCGCCGTGCACTCCCTGCGTCGAGGGGCGGCAGCGTGCCGCTCCTCACTCCTCCTCGTTCCCCCCGACCACTGCTCCTCTGCAGACCCTAGACATGGACGTGTCGCCCCAGTCTCATGGCCGGGCCGAGAGCGCTACTTCGTGCTTATTGTCGACGACTACATGCGCTACACCACGGTGTTTCCGTTGCAGCACAAGGGAGACGTCCGTGTTGTTTTGATCCCTTGGATCCGCGCTGTTCGCCGCCAGCTGGGTCTGTAAATGCACCTGCTGCTACGGGTGGGACTCCTGCTCTACCCTCTCCTGGTGCGGCCGTGACTGCTCCTCTACTCTCTCCTGCTGTGTCTGTAACCGCACCTGCTGCTGCGGGCGGGACTCCTGCTCTACCCTCTCCTGGTGCGGCCATGACTCCTCCTCTACCCTCTCCTGCTGCGGCTGCAGCTGCACCCGCTGGTGCGACCGGGACTCCTGCGCTACCCTCTCGTGCTGCTGCTGTGACTCCTCCTCTACTCTCTCCTACTGCTGCTGCTGCTGCTGCTGTGTCCTCTCAAATCGCTCACGCTCCTCCCTCTCCAACCAGAGGAGACGCTGCTCACGGGTCAGGAAACGTACAGTGCGCGGTGTAGGCGCCACAGTGCCAGTGCCTCCAGCTCCAGCACCCCCAGAACCAGCACCTCCACCACCGACACCCCCGGGGCCTCCAGTACCTCCCGCAGGAACACCCCCAGGCTCCGCAGCAACCGGCCGCAGAGAAGAACGAGGAGGAAACTGCGGGACGGACGGGAAGCCAGGGGGTGAGGCAGGGCGAGGCCGCCAACTCGAGGCTGCCGTGTCCTCCACAGGAGTGACCTCCACGCCTACAACCCCTGCACCCCCAGAGCCGACACCACCAGCTCCTGCAGCCCCAGTACCCTCACCCTCCGCAACTGCACCTCCCGCACCCCCAGACACGACAGGGACTGGACGCTGCGGGGGGGACGACTGCGGAGTGACGTGCGACACACCTGACGGGGCAGGACGCGAAGGGGGGGGGGGCTACCGGGGCGACTGGTGGGGGCTCAAGGGTGAGGAACAGCGGGGGGGAAAAGACCTCAGTACCTCGGTGGGGGCGACTCCTGTAGTAACAGACAGACTCGTCGAACGTGACGTCCTGAGAGGCGAAGAACTGGTAGGTGACCGGGTCGTAGAACACCCAGCCGGAGGCGTCTAGAGGGAAGCCAAGAAAGACGCAGGCACGAGTGCGCGGAGACAACTTGTTCGCGCCAGGGGCGCGAACGTGAGCCAGAGAACCCCAGACACGGAAGTCAGCTGCTACGCCCGGAGAACCTGTCCAAAGGGAGACCGGCGTCACCCGTGGCCGTGCGTCACTGGGCCACAGGTTCAGCTCGTGCGCGGCGTAGCGGACTGCCTGAGGCCACAAGAACTGGGGGGCACCGGCATGGCACATGGAGGTCCGGGCAACCTCCATGACCAGGCCGATGAGTCGCTCGGCTACCCCGTTCTGCTGCGGCGAGGCTGGTAGCATGTAAGACTGGATAATCCCCCGACCCTGACAGAACGTCTCCAGGCGACTCGGACCACGGTCCGGGTATATGCGAAGCCCACACAGGCCCTGGGCGCCACCCCACGCTAGTAGCCACGGCTCGAGGCCGGTAGGCACGTCGGCCTTCCGTCGCAAAGGGAAAACTGTGGTGTAGCAGGAGTAGTCGTCCACCACAATCAGGAAGTAGCGCTCCTGACGTGGTCCAAGGACCGGGGAGGGGCCCCAGACGTCCAAGTGCAGGGTCTGGAAGGGAGCTGTGGTGGGGGGGAACGAGGAGGAGTGAGGGGCAACGCGCTGCCGACCCTCGACGCAAGGAGTGCACGGCGGCGCAGGTGAGCGAGGAAGCGGGGCAATCGACTCTGGGAGACCTGAGACCAGACGGTGACGTACCATCCTACTCAGACGTGGGAACGACGGGTGACCTAGACGGTGGTGCCAGAGGACCAACGGGTGGGCGAGGGAGCGACACTCGCACGACACAGCAGCTACCTGACCTGACCTGATCTGGCCTGACCCAGTGCAGTGGGACCCTGTGTGTAGTGAGTACAGACCAGAGCCCGGCTCCCGGTGAAAAGTGGCCAGAGGGGCCCCAGTGGTACCGACTGTGCAGGAGGCAACAGGCTCGTCCAGTGGGAAAGTGGTGACTACACCTAGGTCGTGGAGGTGACTGACACCCACCAGGTTCCTAGAGAACGAGGGGGTGTAGTAACCTGTAAGAAAACCTGAGGGAGCCGCCGGACATGGGAGAGTGGTGGTGCTGCGAGCAACTACAGGTCCCACAGAGGGGTTAGCCAAGGCGACAGTGACTGGAGTGCGCAGTGGTGTGAGGTCAGTACAGTCGCGAAAGAAACAGCTGGACGCTCCAGAGTCTAGGGTGAAGGAAAGGTGTGCAGTCTGTGAGGTCGCACCCGAACCAGCTACAAAGGCTGGTGCAGGACTAGTGGTAGCTGCAGCTCCTACACAAAGACCCTCAGAGGTGCTTGGACTGGAAACAACACACGCACCAAGACTAGAAACACAGGTCTCTACTCGTGCAGCCGGGAACGGTCCTAGACCAGGCAGGTGGGACTCAACTGGTGCAGCAGTGCGCTGGCAAAGACGCGAGGGCCAGTGCGGTGTAATAGTGTGAGAACCAAAACGCTCACGGTCGAGGTCGTCGAGTCGACGGTAGCAGCTGGATGCAGAGTGGTCAGGACTCCAGCAGGTGGTGCCAGCACCAGGGCCTGTCAGGGCCCGGTACCCGCAGGGGCCGACGTCTCGCCCACTGCTAGCTGAGCCACTGCTGGGGGCTCCACCCTGTGGACCCGCAGGTCCCCACTGCCAGGAGTGCTGCGGCTGGCCCTGCTGCTGTAGAACTCTGGTACACGCCATGTGGGCCTAAGCTGCTGCTGGTTCTGCTGGGGGCAGCCTAAGCTGCTGCTGGTGCGCTGGCGGCAGCCTAAAGTGCTACTGGTGCACTGGGGGCAGCCTATGCTGCTGCTGGTTCTGCTAAGGGCAACCTAAGCTGCTGCTGGTGCGCTGGCGGCAGCCTAAAGTGCTACTGGTGCGCTGGGGGCAGCCTATGCTGCTGCTGGTTCTGCTGGGGGCAGCCTAAGTCGCTGCTGGTGTGCTGGGGGCAGCCTGTGCTGCTTCTGGTTCTGCTGGGGGGCAGCCTCGGCTGCTACTGGTTCTCCAGGGGGGCAGCCAATGCTGCTCCTGGTGCGCTGGCGGTAGCCTAAGCTGCTGCTGGTGCTAGTGTAATCGGCTGGGGCTACTGGCGGCGGGTGTGGCAGCTCGTGAGGAGGCGGTTTTCAGGTGGGGAAGCTGTTAAGGCAGCGGGCTACGGGTGGGGAAGGTGAGGCGGCAGTTCTGTGCGGTTCTGTGCGGTTATGTGCAGTTCTGTGCGGTTCAACGCGGTGGAGAGTACTGGGTGGGGCGGCTGAATCCGGGTGAGGTGCCTGGAACGGGTGGGGCGGCGGTTGTCAGGTCTGGGGCGGCGGTTTTCAGGTCTGGGGCGGCGGGTTTCCAGGTTCGGCGGCGGATTTCAGGTCTGTAATGGCGGGTTTTCAGGTCTGGGGGCGGTTAAGACGGTGGGCTGCACGTGCGCGCGGCTGCTGCTGCACGTGCGTGCGGTCGCGACGTACTAGCGCGGAGCTGCGGGTGCGACTAAGGCTGCGCGCGCAGCTACGCGCGTTCGTCTGCTGCGCGCTAGAGGGCTGGGGGGCAACGCGCGGGGTAAAACGAGTGGGGCGCGGGGCAGAAAATCGAGTGACGCACGGCAAAAATGGGTGGGGCGCAGGGCAGAAACGGGTGACGCGCGATGGCGACAGGGGGCGCGGCCTACTCGGGCTCTACGAGGCAGGGCGCTTCGGGCTACGGGTCGCTACGAGGCGCGCGGGTGGTAGGCCCATAGACTATCGAGAGAAATTTCGCCTAGGGGAAAAAATCGCCTAGGGGAAAAATCGCCTAGGGGAAACCTAGCTCTATACCATGTTACGATATGGATGAATTGATAGAAAATGTGAAGTACAACCCTAGATATAGCAAACCCTAATCATGCAAGTAAGTAGAAATGTAACACCTAGACTAACCTAAACAACACATATAAAATGTATGTTGACAGCGCTGACTGAAGCCTCTCGCCCCATAGCGCGCCTTGAACACCGGTGGTGATACAGGCGGCCGCTTCACCTTGTAGAGCCACATGCCACTGACGACGTTCGTCCCAGGTGGTGGGACGACGTCGACGTAGGTGCCTGTGGACCTATAAGATGCCATCTCTGCCTCCTCAGCTGCTATCCAGTACGAAGCCCAGGGTCCCGAGACCGCCTCGGCGTGAGTGCGCGGGATCGGGATGTCAAAGGCGTCTGGATCCTCCTCAGGGGCAAGCAGCATGGCGCAGAGATGAGGGACTGCGGCCGCAAGGAAACCAAGCTCGAAATGCCTGTCCTCCAGGACCTCCAGGGGAAAAACAGGGACACCCCCAGTGGACGGAGAACGAGCAGTGCTGCTCACCAGGTGGGAGGCGTAGTCAAGACGGTGGGACGAGGCAAAGCCAGCGACAGTGGTAACAAGGGCTGAGACAAACGACAGAGGGGCAGTCGGGTGAGTGACCAACGCGGACAGAACACGGGAGACTGTTACACGGGAGAGGAGGTGGGGGGGTGGCCGCGGCGTCCCCTCTTACTAACCCCCTTTTACGAAAGGGGGGTTGAGTGGGGGATGAGGAGAGGAGGTGGGGGGGTGGCCGCAGCGTCCCCTCTTACTAACCCCCACATCCCCACCCCCAATCAACCACCCTCCTTCAACCTCACCCCCCATTTCAGCCACCCCCTGGGACCGCACCCCCTCCCTCCCTTCCTTCCTCCACACCCCTGCCCCACCCACAGTTGTCTCTGCCCTGTCCTTCACACTGCAGCCAGCCCTCCCACCCCCTCGCTCCCGCCACCTACCCCCCACAGTAGCAGCCGCGGGAGGGGAGAGGCAGGGCAGAGGGTGGTGCTCTGCTGGCGGGGTTCTCTGCTGGCGGGGTTCTCTGCTGGCGGGGTTCTCTGCTGGCGGGGTTCTCTGCTGGCGGGGTTCTCTGCTGGCGGGGTTCTCTGCTGGCGGGGTTCTCTGCTGGCGGGGTTCTCTGCTGGCGGGGTTCTCTGCTGGCGGGGTTCTCTGCTGGCGGGGTTCTCTGCTGGCGGGGTTCTCTGCTGGCGGGGTTCTCTGCTGGCGGGGTTCTCTGCTGGCGGGGTTCTCTGCTGGCGGGGTTCTCTGCTGGCGGGGTTCTCTGCTGGCGGGGTTCTCTGCTGGCGGGGTTCTCTGCTGGTGGGGTTCTCTGCTGGCGGGGTTCTGGAGCTGGTGCTGGTGCTGGCGGCTGGCCCTGGAGCTGGTGCTGGCGGCTGGCCCTGGAGCTGGTGCTGGTGCTGGCGGCTGGCCCTGGAGCTGGTGCTGGTGCTGGCGGCTGGCCCTGGAGCTGGTGCTGGTGCTGGCGGCTGGCCCTGGAGCTGGTGCTGGTGCTGGCGGCTGGCGCTGGTGCTGGTGTTCCGCCGCCACTCCCTTCCCCCTTTCCCTCTCTCCCCCACAGCATTCCGCCGCCACTCCCTTCCCCTCCTCCCTCTCCCACCCACAGCGACCGCCGCTGCACACGCGAACAGTCGCGACGGGGGGGGAGGGACGGGCAGGGGGCCGGGGAAATGCGACGGGCAGTGCGAGGCGACGGGAGGGAAGAAAACGGGACGGGGGGGGGGGGACAGGGAGGCAACGGGGACGAAACGGTGACAGCGCGCGTAGGTGCTGGCGCGTTGGCGGGCCGGTGGCGGAATCGCTGGCGTGCTGGCGTGTCCGCTGGCGGGCTCGTCGGCGGGCTCGCTGGCGTTTCCGCTGGCGGGATCGAGCGGTTCCGCTGGCGGGCTCGGTGGCGGGCTCGTCGGCGGGCTCGTCGATTCGCTTCCCCCCCCATCGTTGGCGTGCTCGCTGGCAGGTCCGTCAACGGATTCGCTGGCGGGCTCGCTAGCGCGTTCGCTATGGGCCGCGGACGCCATGGGCAGAACGCGACGATCTTGGGCGGACTGGACGGGAAACGCGCTACGAACTGGGGACGCGAGGATTACGGGTTGGTGGGCCCATAAAATCGCAGGTCCTAGAAGGAACTACGCTCTGTTACCATGTTACGATACTAAGTTAACTAGGAACCGGGTTTAACTAAGGGCCTAGGCTTAGTAGCCTAGGCCAAGCGGGTGTCGAGTAGTTTGTGCCAAGGAGAATTGAAGAATGGTTGGGTTCACTATAGGACCAAAGGTACATATAGCAAACAAACAGGTGCACCACCAAGCAAACAATCAGATAACTACACTATAGTAACTACAGCAAGCAGGATATATTAAATATAACTTTAACAGAGACGACAGGATGGGAGGCACGGAGGTAGTCGGACAACGGGTCGTGAAGCACAGTGAGGGACGACTCACTAGGCTGTGGAAGGACCGGAGGAGGTGGAACAAGAGAGCGGAGTACAAGGTGAAACAGGCCGTCAGCACGGTAACGAGACCGACGGGGCTCTGGAGACACAGCACGACTGAGGGGAGAACGACGAGGAAAGGGACTAAACGGGGGGAACAGGAGGGGACGGTAGGGGACCACGGACCAAGCGTGCAGGTGCTGGGTCGGGCAGGTCGCGCAGTCGCAGTCGCTGCCGCTCCGCCTCCTCTGGCGTCTACTGCGACGGTACCTGCCCATGCTGCTGCTCCTGTGGCTCCTCCTCTGCCCTCTACTGCTGCGGCTGCAGCTGCACCCGCTGCTGCGACCGGGACTCCTGCGCAACCCTCTCCTGCTGCGTTCGTGACTCCTCTACTCTCTCCTGCTGTGTCTGTAACTGCACTTGCTGTTGCGGGCGGGACTCCTGCTCTACCCTCTCCTGGTGCGGTCGTGACTCCTCCTCTACTCTCTCCTGCTGCAACTGCAACTCCACCCGCTGCTGCACTCGTGAATCCTCCTCTATTCTCTCCTGCTGCGGCTGCAACTGCTCTTGCTGCTGCAGTCATGACCCCTCCCCTGCTCTCTCCTCCTGCTGCTGCTGTGACTCCTCCTCTGCTCTCTCCTGCTGCTGTGACTGAGACTGCTCCTGCTGCTGCTGCTGCTGCTGCTGCTACTGCTGCTGCTGCTACTGCTGCTGCTGCTGCTGCTGCTGTGCCCTCTCAAACCGCTCACGCTCCTCCCTCTCCAACCGGAGGAGACGCTGCTCACGGGTCAGGAAACGTACAGTGCTCGGTGTAGGCGCCACAGTGACTGTGCCTCCACCTCCAACACCCCCAGGCTCCGCAGCAACCGGCCGCAGAGAAGAACGAGGAGGGAACTGCGGGACGGACTTGAAGCCAGGGGGTGACGCGGGGCGAGGCCGCCGACTCGATGCTGCTGTGTCCTCCACGGGAGTGACCTCCACGCCCACACCCCCTGCACCCCCAGAGCCGACACCACCAACTCCTGCAGCCTCAGTACCCTCACCCTGCGCAACTGCACCTCCCGCACCCCTAGACATGACAGGGACTGGACGCTGCGGGGAGGACGATTGCGGAGTGACGTGCGAGACACCTGACGGGGCAGGACGCAAAGGGGGGGGGCCTACCGGGGCGACTGGGGGGGGCTCAAGGATTAGGAACAGCTGGGGGGAAACGACCTCAGTACCTCGATGGGGGCAACTCCTGTAGTAACAGACAGACTCGTCGAACGTGAAGTCCTGAGAAGCGAAGAACTCGTAGGTGACCGGGTCGTAGAACACCCAGCCATAGGTGTCCAAAGGGAAGCCAAGAAAGACGCAGGCACGAGTGCGCGGAGACAACTTGTTCGCGCCAGGGGCGCGAACGTGAGCCAGAGAACCCCTGACGCGGAAGTCAGCTGCTACGCCCAGAGAACCTGTCCAAAGGGAGACCGGCGTCACCTGTGGCCGTGCGTCACTGGGCCACAGGTTCAGCTGGTGCGTGGCGTAGCGGACTGCCTGAGGCCACAAGAACTGGGGGGCACCGGCATGGCACATGGAGGTCCGGGCAACCTCCATGACCAGGCCGATGCGTCGCTCGGCTACCCCGTTCTACTGCGACAAGGCTGGTAGCGTGTAAGACTGGATGATCCCCCGACCCTCACAGAACCTCTCCAGGCGAGTGGAAGAAAACTCACCACCACGGTCCGAGTGTAGGCGGAGCCCACACAGGCCCTGGGAGCCATGCTAGTTGCCACGGCTCAAGGACGGTAGGCACGTCGGCCTTCCGTCGCAGGGGGAAAACCGTGGTGTAGCGGGAGTAGTCGTCCACCACAATCAGGACGTAGCGCTCCTGACGTGGGCCAAGGACCGGGGAGGGCCCAGACGTCCAAGTGCACGGTCTGGAAGGGAGCCGTGGAGGAGTGAGGGGCAGCGCGCTGACGACCCTCGACGCAAGGAGTGCACGGCGGCGCAGGTGAGCGAGGAAGCGGGGCAATCGACTCTGGGAGACCTGAGACCAGACGGTGACGTACCATCCTACTCAGACGTGGGAACGACGGGTGACCTAGACGGTGGTGCCAGAGGACCGACGGGTGGGTGAGTGACCGACAGTCGCACGACACGGCAGCTACCTGTGGTGGGACCCAATGTGTAGTGAGTACAGACCAGAGCCTGGCTCTCTTTGGAAAGTGGCCAGAGGCGCCCCATTGGCACCGACTGTGCAGGAGGCAACTGGCTCGTCCAGTGGGAAAGTAGTGACCATACCTAGGTCGTGGAGGTGACTGACACCCACCAGGTTCCTGGAGAACGAGGGGGTGTAGTAACCTGTGAGAAACCCAGAGGGAGCCGCCGGACACGGGAGAGTGGTGGTGCTGCGTGCAACTACAGGTCCCACAGAGGGGTCAGCCAAGGCGACAGTGACTGGAGTGCGCAGTGGTGTGAGGTCAGTACAGTCGCGAAAGAAACAACTGGACGCTCCAGAGTCTCAGGTGAAGGGAAGCTGTGCAGTCTGCGAGGTCGCACCCGAGCCGGCGACAAAGGCTGGTGCTAGACTAGTGGTAGTTGCAGCTCCTACACAAAGACCCTCAGAGGCGCCAGGACTGGAAACAACACACGCACCAAGACTGGAAACACAGGTCTCTACTCGTGCAACCGAGAAAGGTCCTAGACCAGGTAGGTGAGACTCAACTGGTGCAGTAGTGCGTTGGCGAAGACGTGAGGGCCAGTGCGGTGTAATAGCGTGAGGACCAAAACGCTCACGGTGAAGGTCGTCAAGTCGACGGTAGCAGCTGGACGCAGAGTGGTCAGGACTCCAGCAGGTAGTGCTAGCACCAGGGCCTGTCAGGGCTCGGTACCCGCAGGGGCTGACGTCTCGCCCACTGCTAGCTGAGCCACTGCTGGGGGCGCCACACTTTGGACCCGCAGGTCTCCACTGCCGGGAGTGCTGCGGCTGGCCCTGCTGCTGTAGAACTCTAGTACACGCCATCTGAGGAGCTAGAAACGGGGCTATGTTGTTGTTGGTGTTCTTGGTGGTAGTCTAGGCTGCTGCTGGTTCAGCCGGGGGCAGCCTAAGCTGCTGCTGGTGCTCCTGGTGGCAGTCTAGGCTGCTGCTGGTTCAACCGGGGCCAGCCTATGCTGCTGCTGGTGCTCGTGGTGGCAGTCTAGGCTGCTGCTGGTTCAACTGGGGGCAGCCTATGTTGCTGCTGGTGCTCCTGGCGGCTGTCTAGGCTGTTGCTGGTTCAAGTGGGGGCAGCCTAAGCTGCTGCTGGTGCTGCTGGCGGCAGTCTATGCTGCTGCTGGTGCGCTGGTGGTGGTGTAGGCTGCTGGCGCTTGCTGTCGGCGGCCTACGCTGGTGCTGGCGGCGGCCTACGCTGGTGCTGGCGGCGGGCTACGGGCGGACAGCAGTCCGTGCGTGTAGTTGCGCGTGCGTGCGGTTGCTTGAGCGCATGCGTGCGGGCTGCGCGCGCGATTGTATGGGGTGGAGAGGGCTGCGGGAGGTGACGGGGGAGTCGACGGGGAAGGGGGTGGGACGCGGAGGCGAGGAGAGGCGACGCGGAGGCGACGGGAAGGGGGGGACGGGGAGGCGACGAGAGGCGACGCGGAGGCGACGGAAAGGGGGACGGGGAGGTGACGGGAGGCGACGCGGAGGCGTCGGGAAGGGGGGGATGGGGAGGCGACGGGGTGGCGACTCGGAGGCGACGGGAAGGGGGGGACGGAGAAGCGATGAGAGGCGACGGAAAGGGGGGGGCGGGGAGGCGACGGGAGGCAACCCGGAGGCGACGGAATGGGGGACGGGGAGGCGACGGGAGGCGACGCGGAGGCGACGGGAAGGGGGGGACGGGGAGGCGACGGGGGGGCGACGCGGAGGCGACGGGAAGGGGGGGACGGGGAAGCGACGAGAGGCGACGGAAAGGGGGGGGGGGGGGAGGCGACGCGGAGGCGACGGGAAGGGGGGGCGGGGAGGAGACGGAAAGGGGACAGGGAGGCGACGGGGAGGGGACGGGGCCGCGACGGGGAGGGGACGGGGCCGCGACGGGGAGGGGACGGGGGCGCGAGCTACACGGGCGCTACGGGTACGAGTCGCTTCGGGCTACGGGGCGCTTCGGGTTACGGGGCGGTGGGCCCAACGGATCGATCTAGCTCTATACCATGTCACGAAGGTAACTGTCGAATGAATGATGAGAAACAAGCAGTACAAGGATGGATATAGGAAACCCTAACTGAACCTAGGGCAAAATTCAACACACATAAACTATAACAAATATAGTTTGACTGAGGTCGACGCAGGGAGTGCTGGCTGTGCGGCGACCCCGACCACCTCTCCTTTGAGTGCTTCGACCATGATGACTCCGACGACGACGACACCAAGGGAGGCCGAGGGAGGTCGGACGGTCGTCGCCCACGTTGGGAGAGTAGCCGCGCAAGGAGAAGCAGTCGACCAAGTCGACGTCGGCGAAGGACGCCGACTCCTCCTCTGGCGGCAAGGGGCGAGGCGACGGGGAGGCGTCATGCTCGCTGGTCGGCGTAGTGGAGCCGACCGT